CGCACATACACTCGAAGCGTGGAGGAGCTCACATTGGGATACAGTCCGCCAAGCGTGTGCTGCAGTGACTCGAATGCGCGGGAATACGACGTTGTACGAAGGTGCAGCATGCTGCCGCCGGCATCAGCGGGCAAGGTGCTGGGCAGAAAGTTCAGCGTGTCGACATATAGTGCACGCATGTGAGCACCCAGCGCTGCCAGCCCTTGCCGGCCGGTATCAGTAAGCTGGCCAAATCCACAGGTGGCGGATGTCCGCTGCGAAGTATCGCCGGAATGCGCCTTGTCAGCGCTGGACACGGCAAACACCGAGCCACCGGCGTGGCCTCGAGGATCCTGCTTGAAGACGTAGTTTTGCCACGGCAATTGTTTCTGATCGGTATTCCTGGTGGCTGGGCTGCCAGTAACAAGCCCCACCGTCCTGAGAAAGTCCTGGTGCAGCTGGTTGCCGGTGGCGCAGAAATTCCAGTACTTGGGCGAAAGCTGAGGAATGCGGTGAGCAACCGGTGTGCGCTCGCCATGCCGGTGCAGCAGGTCGACGTGCACGACCTTTAGGTGCGGCGGATAGTGCTGAGCAACAAACTCAGGCGTGAGCGTGGGCAGCGGTGCCCGCATCGGGTTGGAGTCAAAAGCAGGCGCGGCCATAAGTGTTCATCTAAATACCATTAAGTAGAGGAAAGAAAAGAAAGCATGCAGAGGTGCACTATCGCTCTTTATCTCTTGCGGGTGCCAGGCGAGGGAAACAGATAATAAAAGAGCGCGGATTGCCCAAGATCACGCGCCCAGCATTCCAAATCCAGGAACTGGCCAAGCACAGACCATTTTAATCAATCAGCGCAAGCAAGCGATGATCAGTGTGTTTGCCGGAACTGCTGGACAAACTCCAGCACCTTCTCGACATTGGCTTCCATCTCCTCCACGGTGTTGCTGGACAGCTCCATGACGATCTCGGGCTTGTACGACTCCAGCGCATCTTCCAGCACGACCTGCATGATTTCGCATTCGAGGTTCTCCTCAATCTTGTTCTGCTTGTATCCGCGCTTTTCCAAGCGGTCGTAGATCTTGTCGGTGGTTGTGCGCAGAACAACCACCAGGTCAAACCACCGCTCCGGGAACATCTCGCACGTGTGGAAATCCACGCACATGCCGCCATCGCTCATCATGTCCTCCATCTCGTCGAGCACCTTGTCCTCGTTGAGGATATACGTGTCAAACTCGGCATCGTATCCGTCGTGCAGGTTGCGCTCCTTGATCAGGTCACCAACCGTCAGCTTTTTGAGCCCTGTGGCCAGCGCAATCAGCTCGGCCGTAGTGGTCTTGCCGGTTCCTGGCGTACCTGTCACCAGAATGTTGGGGTTGCTCCGTGGCGGGCTCGTTGGTATAATTTCGCTGCTCATTTGAAAAGAGAGAAAAAAAATTATCCAGTGATCTGAGATTATTACAATAATCTTTTTTATCTTTCGTATAGCTCTTATTTAAGAATGAAATCGGCTCTTCGCGTTGCGGGTCGCCGGCTAGCGCGCACAGCACGGACTAGCCGTCAGCGGCAACTGGCAGGATTTAGCACGGTGTGTGCAGGTCGCACTCTGCCCGTATCTATGCTTGTACCTCGCACTGCAGCCAGCATCCACACGACGGCGCGGCTAGGCATGCAGGCACAGGCAGCAGGATCGGAGCCTGACAGCAAAGCAGCCGACCTGGGAGACATGATTCCGATGGAGCGGATCCGCAATGTGGGGATCATAGCCCATGTGGACCACGGAAAGACCACGCTGGTGGACTGCCTGCTGAAGCAGTCGGGAGCACTGTCAGGAACCACCATGCAGGAAACGCGCGTAATGGACTCGAATGCGCTGGAGAAGGAGCGAGGTATCACAATTCTGTCCAAAGTAACGTCGCTAATGTACAAGGACCACCGCATTAACATTGTGGACACGCCGGGGCATGCGGATTTCGGCGGCGAAGTGGAGCGGATCCTGTCGATGGTGGACAGCGTGGTCTTGGTGGTGGATGCGTCGGAGGGCCCGATGGCGCAGACAAAGTTTGTGCTGACCAAGGCGCTGGCCCGCGGCCTGCATCCGCTGGTGGTGCTTAACAAGATTGACCGGCCCACGTCGCGCCCCGACGAGGTGGACTCGGAGCTGCTGGAGCTGTTCCTGGCTCTGGGTGCAACTGACGAGCAGACGAGCTACGACATGCTCTTTGCGTCTGCCAAGGAGGGCTGGTGCTCGCGCAGCCTGGACGACGTTGCTGCGTACAGCGACGCGGCAGCTAAAGGGCAGCCCACCAATGGCAGCATGGTCCCGCTGCTGGACGCTATTCTGGACCGCGTACCGCCGCCACGTGGCCAGCGTGAAGGCACACCCTTTTCGATGCTGGTGACGCAGCTGGAGGCCAACTCGTATTTGGGCAAATGTGCGCTGGGCCGGGTGGCCAGCGGCACCGTCAGTGTGGGCGATCGCATCCGTGTGCTGGCGCCCGGCACGGGCGAGGTCACCGAAGAAGGCAAGGTCACCAAGCTGTTTTTGCGCAGTGGCGTGCATCAGATCGAAATGGCTCAGGCTGGTGCCGGTGATCTGGTTGCAGTCAGCGGCGTGCCCAGCGTTGGCGTCAACTCCACCATCGGAAGCCCTGAAGTGTCGCAGCCGCTGGAATTTGTCCCTGTCGACCCGCCTACCATCTCCGTGACGTTCTCTGTCAACGACTCGCCACTGGCTGGCCGCGAGGGTTCTCTGCTGACGTCCAGCATGATCCGTGACCGTCTGCTGCGCGAAGCCGAGACCAACGTCGCTCTGCAGATTGTCGGCGGCAGCAAGTCTGAGTCCATGGAGGTCCGCGGCCGTGGTGAGTTGCAGCTGTCTGTGCTGATCGAGACTATGCGTCGCGAGGGCTTTGAGCTGTCGGTTACGCCCCCTCGCGTGCTGTTTAAGCGCGACCCCGAGAACAAGCAGCGGGTTCTGGAGCCGTACGAGGAGATCACCATCGATGTGGACCATGCTGACTCGGGCATTGTCATTGAGAAGCTTACCAAGCGCAAGGGCGAGCTCAAATCCTTCACGGATGTTGCCGACAAAGCACGGCTGGTCTTCCATATCCCTACTCGCGGCCTGCTGGGCTATGCGTCCGAGTTCAAAAACGACACTCATGGCACTGGCGTCATGAATCACTCCTTTTTGCACTACGGCGAGCACGCCGGCGTGCTGGAAAAGTCGCGCAAGTCCAGCATGGTGTGCATGTCCGCTGGCACTGCCACCTCGTATGCCCTTAACCTGATGGAGCCGCGCGGCCGCTTGTTTGTGCGCAATGGCGACAGCGTGTACCCAGGCATGATTGTGGGCGAGCTGAGCAAGGACGGCAATGATCTTGAAGTCAACCCTACCAAGGCAAAGCAGCTGACCAACATCCGTGCTGCCGGCAAGGACGAGACCATTCGCCTTACTCCAGTAAAGCCCTGGGCTCTGGAGGAAATCATTGCCTATGTCAACCCCGACGAGGCCATCGAGATAACGCCTTCTCAAATCCGTCTGCGCAAGCAAATTCTCGATCCGCTCAAACGCAAACAGTTTTCACGCAAACGCGTTGGCGACGCCGACTGCTTCATAGATTAAAAAAGGTTTTTTATTTGTGCTTAGAATAGCATTCCTGAAACTGCAGCCGAAATCGCAATGGCCATTGCTGGCAAGCCGATCAAACGTGCACTGCCGCTGGTGGTCTCTTCCGAGTCCAAGTCATCCTCGCTTGCCGAGTCTGATTCAGAGCTCTCGTCCTCAGAGCCCGAAGACTCTTCATCAGAACTAGCCGAAGCTCCGTCCTCGCTAGAGTCGTTTTCCAGCGAAGACTGTTCCGAAGCCTCAGTTTCGTTGTCAGACTGTGAATTGCTGGCTTCGGATCCAACGCTTGGCGCATCGCTGGCTTCGGGAGCACCAGCTGCGTTGTCAGAGGCAGAAGTAGCTTCGGCCTGGCCAATGCCCTGGGATGGTGCAGGTGCGCTGGGCTGCTGCTGCTGGTCCTGCTGTTCGGTCTGCTGGCCTTGCTGGTCCTGCTGACCTTGCTGGTCTTGTTGTTCGTTCTGTTGGCCTTGCTGACCTTGTTGTTCATTCTGTTGGCCTTGCTGACCTTGTTGTTCATTCTGTTGGCCTTGCTGACCTTGTTGGCCCTGTTGGCCTTGCTGATTTCCTTGGTCTTCCTGCCGATCTTGAGGAGTAGGCGTGGGCGCAGGTGCATTGCCACTGTCAGAAGCTTGGTCTGTCGGCGGCTGCAAATTGTCCTTACCCTGGTTACCTTCCACGGCATTGGCCGTGCTAGAGGTAGTTGGCGCAACATGGTTAGGGTTGGTAATGACTACGGCATCTCCAATGCTGCCATTGCCCAGAGATCCTCCTCCAAGCTGGCCACCGCCAAGCTGGCCACCGCCATTGTTGCCGGAATCATCAGCGCTGTCAGAGCTGGCGTCCTGAGCATTGACCGATGCTACTACCAATGCAGCACACAGAGCAAGTTGAGAAAGCGAGAGTTTCATGGTTAAAAGGGAAAAAAGGGAGCGTAAAGGAGAGCGAAAATTGATGAAGGATAGGAAAAGTGCGGAAAATAAAGTTCCACTGTTCTTCCGCTCTTACTGAATCTTATAGGACTCAACACTCTTCAAAATAAACACATTGTAGTGGGCGCCGGCACCGGGTTAATCATGCAAGCATCCACCCATGTGCTGGCCTAATGATCTACCGTCCGTACAGGGAACTTTCTGGACCGCATGAAGACCGATGCACAATCTATTCTTAGAAATTGCTTCCTGTTGTTTTTAAGAAGCGCCGGATGGCCCGCAAAATGCCTCTTATAAGCAGCCTTCAGCCATGAAGAATGAAAAATGTACAAATGCGCCAGCGTCTTTGACTTCTCGCCACTTGTCGTCACAAAACGTGTATTGTCGATCATCATTATGGACAATAATGAAAATTAAACAATAATCAATGCGTGCATATCCGAAAAATGCAAAAAAAAAAAAAGTGCCTACTACCGGATTTGAACCAGCGACCTTCTGTTTTCCAATCCTTGATTAATTACAAGACAGATGCGATAACCACTACGCTAAGCAGGCCCAACCATCATGCAAAAGTTTTCACTAAGATGACTTATAAAAGTACGATTTGCTTTATAAATCAACTGTTGCGCCAAAGACAGTCTGGTGAAGCGTGCTGGTATTCAGGCTGTGCTAGCTTCAGCAAGGCTTTCATTTTCTAAAAGAGTTATATTTTTCACAGTTCAGGTATACGTGAATACGCAATGAGATATTAGTAGCTGTAAAAGTAGCAAGGCAAAGTTAGAGTACAGTTATAAATGAAAGGGCTATATGCTGCGAGCATCGTCGCTGTCATCCTGGTACCCAGGCATGTCAACCAGTATAAACTGAGCACGGTCGAATCCGGCGTTCTTGATGTTGATGTCGGCAGCAGGAGTGACGTTTTTGAGGTGGATTCCATCGCCATTAGACAGCTGGATGGAGCCGGGCAGCAACAGGCGAGCTCCGCCCGTTCGTGTGCGGCCATCCTTGGCAAAGTTGCTGTAGACATGGATATAGATGCTGCGGGTTCTGTCTGGCTTTGGAGACCGCAATCGCTGGCACACTCTTGCGGTTGCCTCGGTGCCCGGCAAGGTCGTGGAAACGGTTGCTGCACGGTGGACCCGCGGAAACTCGTACATTGGCGGCTCACTTTTAGACCGCACGGCTGAAGCAACAGTATAACAGATAGACGAGCATGGCGACAGCCGACATATGTAGATGTACACATCGCTGTCTAGCTCAAACACAGAGTTTCTGGAACCAGCAGTTAAATCAGGCCGTTCCATCAGCGAATTGCCCGCGTTAAAGATCTTTGAAAAATCAGATCTGGGCGCAGCTACCAGACACAGTTTGTTCAGACGCTCGTCGGGCGGAACATACATGGACTGGACCCAGGGACCGGTGATCGGCAAGCTTCCCTTAATCCACAGCTCAATGCCGGTGCATGGCGAGTCTCCAGTAAGTCCGCACCCACGACGCACGCCAGTTCCTGCATACAGACACTGCACATAATGCTTGCGGATCCTGCGAGCATGCGATGTGCTGTGGCAACTTATTGTGCCTTCGCAGCAGCCGGAATTAAGGAAAACCAGCGTATACACGCCGCTTAGTCGGTCTCTAGTCACTGCTCCGCGCCTGGGAATCCATGCCTCGTAAACACCCTTGAGACGCCCCACGCCTTCGTCCTCCAGCGGCACCAGCGCATCTGATGGAAACGTTTTGAGTATGTGGGCCTCCCCCATGTTGAGATACAGCCGAGAAGTGTTGCTGTATGACTCGTAGTCGCGGAAGGGCTGGGGCAGCTCGAACGCGGTACATTGGGACAGCCCGCTGTGGTGTTTTTCAGAGCCGGGTTGGTTGTGGATTGGTGGCCGCTTGATGCCCTGCTCGGCAATGGTGCTGCTGGCGGACGATGCAGCATCGTCTCTGCACAACAGCGACAGCAGACACTTTCTGACAAGGCCCATGACAATAAGGGTTTTTTTTATAAAGTAAAATTTTGGAAAGCAGAAACTAAGGTGTTCCAGACAAGCATGGCCTGTGTAATGTGTGGATCGCATTTGTCACGCGCATTGCTTGTGGAAAGGGGGATAGGGGCCAATCACTGCCGGAGCACCCTAGCACTTGATCTCGGCCTGCTGCGTCGGCAAGATGCCAAACCGCCGCTTCAGCAGCACGCGCTGCCGGGAGTATTTGTCATCGGGCGAGAACCGCGCAGGATGCGCCGACTTTGTGACCTCGCCCGAAGGAGTAACCTTCTACATAATAAAAACACAGCTTCACAGTTAGCACACCTTGCTCAATCTCTCTACCGGGCAAATCCACACTATGCATACCTTGAGCGTGTAAACGCGCTTGCCGTCGCTGTCCAATGTGTACATAAGATGCATTTTCACCAAAGTATCTACTATTATCGAAAGTGAGGGAAAAAAGAGAAAAAAAAACTTGGTAGATTACACTAATCAAGCACCGAATGGATCAATGAAAAAAAAAAAGTCTCTTCACAATGCACCCAAAAACAGACGGCGCCATCTCGCATGCAGCAACTACGCGTTACTTTCGGGGGCCCGGGGCATAGGATGGCTGGATAATGCATGGTGAAATGCCCGAGGCATGTGCCACACAGTCACGAGCAACAATCTTCAGATGGCACTTGCAGCTTTAGCTTTGCAGGACTATAGAGAGACTAGGCGGTAAATCCAGCTTCACTGCCAGGCACTACATGCGGCTCGCCGCCCGAAGCGTAGTGACTGGGCTTTGCCAGGCGCCGGGGATTCAGTTTCCGGCAGGCGGACTTGAACTTTGACGAAAGCTCCCGGGCAGACTCGTGCGCACCGCCAGTGTGGATGCGATACGACTTTGGACGCGGCAGCTTGCGTGGCCGGCGGATGTGGTGCCGGGGGCGGTCGGCAGCGTCGGCGTCCTTTTTGCTTGGGCCAGCGTCATCATTGTCGTCCTCGTTCATGTCCTCGGGAATGGCATAGCTCTTGTGCAGCATTGACTGCTGGCTCTGCCGGTTGCCTGCCCGTCCCAGCTGCTGCGACAGTCGATCGGGATCCACCTGGTGCGTGGAATGCTCGCCCATGGGCAGCAGCGGCGACTCGCAGCGGCTGGGCTCCGAGTGCTCCTCTGCATTGTGGTCGGATGTGTTGCTGGCACTAGCAGCAGCGCGGATATCGCCGGGGTTACTCATCAGTCACTTTGCGTCGAGGGAGGAAGGAAAGTACTACTGTACCAGAACAAAACCGCGCATAGGCGATAAAAAGAAGAAAAAGAAGTAAAAAATGTATAGAGCAAAAGATTAAAGTCCTTTAAAGAGCTGCAAAGTCAGGTGCATAATACAAAAAGAAGCCGCCTTATGCGAATTTGTTTTTGTTTGGATGAAAGCGAGCTTAAAAGTGCGGTGGCCACATCTCATTGGCGAGCTCGGCAGAGATGTCGGTGGATACCGGATCCTCAGTGCGCCACGGTCCGTACTCCGCCATGTTGCGGAGCTTGCGTGCGCACAGCACAAAGTAGTCCACGCTCATCCAGTACTTTTGCGATGTGCGCAATGCCGTCAGCACCACTTCCAGCCGGTCCTGCATGCGCCGGATGTCTGCCAGCGTGCGCAGCTGTGGCGGTGGCGACAGGTCTTCGACAAAGTCCGGCACCAGCATCGCGTCCTGCGCATGCTCGGCAGCGTTGTCGTTACTGACAGAGACAGACGAGCTGGGCAGAATGTCGTCGCTGCCATCGTTGCTCAGCGCTGTGGGCTTGCGCCGGGCCAAAATATGCGCCGACATCTTGGCGTGGTGGATGTACATGATGAGGGCCTTGGCAGCCAAAAATAGATAGTACGATGTGCCCACAAACTGCATGCGGAACGGGTCTATCAGGGCATCCGCTTCGGTCTCATCGCCTGATTCAAAGTCAACCTCGCCCGAGTCCTTGGTGCTAAACCGCGGGCGGAATGGCGCGCTGGCGCCTTTGCGGCGGCTTGAGCTGGATCCCCGGCTGCCATTGCTGCCCATGCTCGACACACGGGCCTTGCGGCTTTCCAAGCGACTGCCTATCCCCAGGCCGCCCTGCTGCAGATTGCGGGCATTGGCATTGGTCTCGATGTGGATGTTGCTGTTCATGCTGGAAGCCAGCGCAAGCTCTGTGCCGTAGTGCGTCTGCGTGTCGTCTGCAGCAGCTATCACCGCGGCAAGCAGGCGCTGATTGACCACCAGCAGCGGGTATGGCGGCGTTTCGTGCGAGAAAAACACTTTGACTGACTCGTCAACTTTGCGCTCGTTTGTTTTGGAGTCTTGTGGGAACAGCCGCAAATTGGTGTCTGCGTTGAGCTTGGCCTTGATGGCGTTCTGCGAATGCCAGTCCGGCTTTATCATGACGTGCAGACTGGGATTGGCGTGCGGGCGCACCTGCCAGTGCGACTCCAAAAGGTCTTCGATTTCGCAAGCCTGGCGCACAATCACGTCCCAGCACTCTTGGCCGTAGCTGCGCAGGGAGCGCATGGCCTGCTCGCCGGGCTGGTTGGGCAGAATGTGGTTGGCCAGCGTCTGCTTGGCCGTCTCGTTCATGTTGGGCTCCTGGTCGGCAGTTTTGATTTTGCATTCGCGTCGCGTCAAGCATGCCTGCAGCTGCAGCACAGTTGATCGGTTCTGGATAAGCAGGGCTGCCAGCATAAACCGGTAGTTTGCATATTCCACACGCTCCCGATGGATGGCGCGGTTTTCGTCGTCGTTGCGGCCAGACCCCTCTTCGTGCTCACGCAGCGGGAACATCGACTCCAGATACACGCGCCACTGCATCAGTTTGCCCTCGATGTCCGCAATGGTGGCTCGCATCCGCCGGAAGCGCTCGTCCCAGCTCAGCACCACCGGTCCTGGAGCGCCTCCGCCGCCTCCCAGGTCGTGCGAGTCGTGCGATGCGCCAAACAGGTCTGTCGACATCAGCTGGCTGGGCCACCGGCAGGGGAAGAACAGCCGGAACAGTGCCAGTCGAGCCCGTGTCATTTGGCCGATGACAATTGCCGTGTGGGCGTTCAGATGAATGCGGTTTTTGCGTCGGCGCACACTGACCAGCATGCTTGCCACTCGATTGGGTGCGGGTGTCGAGGAGTGCTGCTGCTGGGCCCTGCGCCGAGTTTCTCCAGATGCATCGGAGTCAGCTTGCTGGGACTTGCGCATAGCTTCATCAGATATGTCGGATCTGTCTTCCAGCGAGCCAGAAATGCTGGGCGGCTTGCTTGGCGGTGCACTGGTATCGGGTGCAATGTCAATGCGCAGGCTGCCGCCCGTGTCGACGTAGTAGCGGCCCATATGCAGCAGCAGCCGCTCATATTCTGCAGCACGACGGGGGCTAGGCATTTCCCAGATCTCGTCGCTGCAGGGCATATGCACCCACCCAGCCTCAAGAGTGACCAGTGGCGGATTACCAGTGGCCAGCGAATGCGCACGCTCAGACTCAAACAGCGCCCAGCGCATGCGACGCACCATTTCGCGGCGAATCCACGTATAGTTGTTGAGCGTGGGTTTGCGCATCTCAGCAGC